CTTTTTATACCATTGTTTGTTCGAATGTCTATTACATTCCTGATGATGCCAACTGAAAGCTGGCGAAAGCTCGAATAAAGTATTTTCAAGACTGAAAGTCATGTTATTCATAGCAGTTCTATATTCGGTTTACAAATACTTATTTCCAACTGCTCTACCAACAAATTTCAAAATAAAATCTGTTTGTTTTCTTCTTTAACGTTGCTTAATAATACGAAGTAAAGTGATACGGTAATATTTTTTTAAATAATGGAAAAATGGCAAATAGAGAGATCTGTCTCTTCATCATCCTCATCCGATCAAGATAGAAAACAAGAGCCGAAATCAAAATTACGTTCAAACGTTTGAAAATATGCTAAACGGTTATAAGTTACTGAAGCGATTTGTAATCAAAAGAACTGTAATTAAGCAATAAAAATGGTACTATTTCAACAATAAGATAAAGCGGACGTAAAATATGTCTTACTTTCTTGATATTATACTACAGTTAGATAGTATTTTGAACAGTACTTAGACCATAATGATCGTTCCCTATGCAAAATTTTCTTGATGTGTCGTTGCTGTCTGTGTTTGTTTTAGCTAAATTCTCTGTAAGATACCTTCACAGCATGAGTGAATGACTTTTTTTGCTAATAGATTCTACTATCGTTAGATGCAGCTTTTGGTTGAATGGTTATGACCTTGCCGCACAAAACAACGGGGCAATTATTTGATCGAATCGGTTCCTGCTTGAATTTCATCGACACATACATGGTTAGATGCAGAATGAACAGAAGAACATTTCTAGGCGCTCAGTAGACCTTAGAAATGCTCTCAGAAAAATTGTGTCCAATTAACTGTAATCATTTCTGACACCTATTATTGATCATATTTTCGAGTGGGTCTCTCTCGGCCTCATACCTCAGTAGAACTATCATATGTCATTTGAAAGCTCTTTTTCTGCGCTATATTTCTGTATATCACATATACGGAAATAGTCGTTCTGAGGCAAAGTATGTTTAGAAATACTTCCCTCTACGGAAAACAGTCTCCTATGTGCAAAAAGTCTAAGATAATCTATGACACCTTTTATCATCTAGCCACTACGATAGATATACCAATCGATGGAGAATTTCTCGCGCTACCAGTTCACATATACATGATAGTGAAAAACTGTCCTAGGACCTCTTGACATTAGAAATACTGTCTGGAACGCCGTGAAAAGTGGGTGGCTTATTCCATGCTGAGGATCCTGTGATCAACGTTTCTCAAGTAGCCACGATGATAGATGCAGTGTATATCATTTGATCGACAATTCGCGCCACAATTTCATTTATATAAAATACTGAGAAAAGTGCCCTCGGGCACCTTGACAATGCAAATGGATATATTTTACAATTTTCTTTATTTGATGCATCGAATGATAATGAATAAAAACTGATTCTAATAACTCCTCGATCAATGTACTTGTAAAAAATGGTCCAAGAACGTTGCATGCAATTGTTCTTGATTTTGTGTTTCCACATGTAATTGATTTAGCAACTGACGATGATGATTTAAATACAGGTTTAGCAACGTTAATTGTACATTCCTGTGAAACATAACTATGGCCTTGTTTAACACCATGATAAACAAATGTAGCTTCAGCTGCGGAAATTTTATCTAATCCAGTTGATGGAACCGCCGACGATGTCATTAATGGGTTCTTACTGAATGTTTTCATTGATAACTGATGTATATTTCTCTTCATATGCTTATCAACATCAGCTTTTCCGCATTTTTTACAGAAAATTGTTTCGAACATGCTTTACATTCTGATTTTGTTGAATCTGATTTCACTTCTTTTAACCACGATGAATATTTTTTTAATAATAACCATTCTTTACGAAAAACACCTTTTATCTTTCTATGAGTGATTGGATTTTGTTTCTGTATTACTACTACATGCTTTTCCTCTTCAATGGAATTCTGTTCATTGTCGTTTAATCCTAAACTGACGTCATTCTCTACGTAGTTCGACGATTCAGTCATCAATTTTATTATAGCTTAAATATACAGTTCATTATATACAAAACTATTTTCTCTTGAAGATCATACGGTACGATGTGTTTGTTCACACATTTGTTCAACGATTCTAAGGAAAAGGTGAAGGTTCCTGAGAACCTTAAAACAAACGGTTTTCTTGAGTTTTTTATCCTAGCATCATGTGTATTATACAAAACTGTGTACCTTCTAAAGTTTTTAAATTTTTATGTAGACGTTATAGGGGGTCATCATAACCCCCTATAACATCTACAGCTTTCTTCAGATCTGCGTCGTACATACGCGCCGGCTATCGTGCGGTAATGAATGTAAACAAAAACAACGATACCATTGAGGAGAACATGTGGTTTAACATTCTTTCTCACTGTATATATCTTCAAACAAGCAGACGTCGTAAGCGTAAGTGCATTTGACATTTATTGGCATCCTTTTATTCAATTCATGTTGTAAAATATCATTGTAATATTCAATATTATATATACTATAATATATATTTTTTCTACTGTTGTACATGCACAGTACGAGATGACATCACAAGAGGTAAATATGTTTTTTTATAAAAGAAAACGAAGCAGTTGTTAAGTAACAGCGACTCACGTACACCCTAATAAGAACGCCTTGTACAAAACCTAAAAGGGTTTAGAAAAGTGTCTCAATCAGATACCCTTTATGATTAGATAAAATGCGGCAAAAAAAGTATCGCAGACATTAGAAATCTTTTGCTAAAACCTGTCTGATGACGGGTAATGAGCCCTTAAAAAAGGCCTGGTGGAAGGTAATTGGCTGCAAATAGTGTCGCTTATACTATTGGCGACAAGTTTCTAAAAAACTCAACTATCCGTACGCTGTTATTGAGGTCTCAGAGAACATTCAGACTTAGCCTCTTCACGTTTTGAAAGGCAATAACCTGTTTGCTAGGAATAAAGGGTGTATACTAAGTTCTGACCCGCTTTGTAAATTGACGTTATTTATATGAAATACATGTGATACATTTCAGCTGTTTTTTGCAGAAGATTCATCATTTAATTCTCTACAAAATGGTATA